AGCTTCCTCAGGGAAACAGCGATGGCATCATGGAAAAGAAAAAAAAAGAATTTTTAAATCAGAAGGTTTGGCTTGACCTAGAAGAGTCACCTCTTCCCAGCTCTGTGAGTCGAGACCAACCAACGGCTTCACCTCCCCTAACCTCCCCTTCCTGGAGGCCACCTTCTTCCCGGGAGAGCTGAGAACCCAGCCTGTGATCTCAGGAGATAAAGCACCTTGTAGACCAGAATGCCCTGTCCAAAGAGAGGGTCTTTTCTTTCTTAACCCTTCCCAATCCTTGGCCCCACGGTTGGGAAGCTTTTCCATGAAGGCCAGGCCTCAAGCTTGCGGTGGAAAATAACAGAGGTTTTTAAAGGGAACAAAAACCACGCTCCTCAGCAGAATGTTCCCCACACATTCCCTGTGGCCCCTGGCAGCGCCTCTGCTGGGAGCATTCAGCCTTAAGAAACACTTGCAGCTCCCGGCTGCTGGCCACCGTGGGGCTATTCAGAGGCTGGTAAACAGCACATGGCATTCTCGGGCATATGGCAAGCATGCATGCGTTGAATTCTTTGTCCTCGTGAGGAGAGACAGAGAGCTACTCTGTGCTGCAAAGCCCCAAACCAGAACTCCATCTTCCAGAGCCCTAGCCGGAGAGCACGCCAAGGCTGAGGCACGCAGGCCACCAAGCCCTTGTGTGCTTGCGAAATAAACTTGCCCAAACTTGGACTTCTCTCTTGAAAACTTGGGTTTACTTGTTAATGCCAGAGGGAAAGTATGGCACTGTTACAATGGAGAAACTTGGCAATCTCCTCCCTAATCCAGGGCTCGAAGTCACGGGGGTCCCGAGAAGTGACCCCATCCACAGCTATGCTCTTTCCTGCCCCGAATGCATAACCTGAATCTCACCAAGAGGAAAACAAACACATCATCAGACAAACCCAGACCAGGTGACATGTTCTGCAAAACGACCGGCCCCACACATTTAAAAACTACCAATGTCACGAATGACAACAAAGAGCTGAGGAACGGTTCCAGATGGAAGAGTCCGGATGGAAGAGACCATGAGAACTAAAGGTCATGTGGGATCGTGGGCAGGGATCGAGGCCAAAATGGGAAAGAAGACCTCACCAAAAGGCAATCATTGGGCGATTAATAAAATTTAAAAATGGACTGTATGTCAGATGATAGTATTTTGCCAATGTTAAGGTTTCTGAATTTGATCGCTGTGTTGCGGTTATAGAAGACAACATCCATACATGCTAAAGTATTTAGGAGTAGAGGGTCCTGGTGACCTGCAGTTGACCCTCTAATGATTCGGCAAAAATAATGATAATTATAACCTATAGAGAGAGATTAAAGCAAATGAGGTAAAATTGGTAAATCTACATGAAAGGCATATGGATTATTCATTGTATTATTCTTGCAACATCTCTGTAGGTTTAAATTCACAATAAAAACACTTTTAAATGAAGAGAGAGAGAGAGAAGGAAAAAAAGGAGGGGATAAAAAGAAAAGAAAAGTACACTCTTAAAAAAAAAAAAAAAGGCACCTGGCCGGCGTAGTCATTGGAGCGTGTGACTCTTGATCTCGGGGTCGTGTGTTTGAGCCCCAGGTTGGGTGTAAAGACTACTTAAAAAGAAAAATCTTTTAGGGCGCGTGGGTGGCTCAGTTAGTTAAGCGACTGCCTTCGGCTCAGGTCATGAGCCTGGAGTCCCGGGATCGAGTCCCGCATCAGACTCCCTGCTCGGCTGGTCCGCTTCTCCCTCTGACCCTCCCCCCTCTCATGCTCTCTCTGTCTCATTCTTTCTCTCTCAAATAAATAAGTAAAATCTTAAGAAAAAGAAAAATCTTTTTAAAAATCTTTTTAAAAAAAAATCAATTAAATAATTAAATAAAGGAACATCAGACATGCCCAGCTGCATCTCCCAGATAGTAAGCGTGTCACAGCTAAAGTGCTTAGTGGAGCTGAGGCGGGACGTGCCAGCGACCTGCAAAGTCCCAGTGGGCACTGCGCTTTGGCTTTGGAACGCTGGAGACATAGCAGTAGTTCAATAATGCTGCCATTGCTCAAAACATTTGACCCAACTTAGCCACCACACAGGAAAATTAGTTGTACTACGTTGTAATCACACTTCGCTCTTGACCCTAGTCCCATCCGCCTAATCAACCAGCTTTACTTCTGAAAGAATCACAAACTATTTGGAACTGGTAACAGCCTTCGAGAACGCATGCCTGATCCATGTTACAAATGAGGAAACTGAGGCTCAGACAGGATCCAAGATCATGGCTAATCCCATTGACTCCTCCCAGGCCAGTGCTCCTTTCAGGGTTCTGTCCTGGGAACCCTGGAGTATATTCCAGGCCTTTTGGCTATTTGCAAAAAATTCAAGACAGGAAGATTTGTGTTTCCCCAAGAGAAAAAAAAAAAGAATTTTTTAATGTATAGGTGACATTGAGAGCCATTTCAAAAGAGAGGAAACAAAATACTCTTAACAGAATTTTCATAGCAGCACCTCCCAAACATGTTTGTTTAAAACAAAAATTGTCATTTTATGATCACACCTTAAATACATCCCACATCATGGGGGCTATTTTAAGAAATCTCAATATACTGGGCGCCCGGGTGGCTCAGTCAGTTAAGCGTCTGCCTTCAGCTCAGATATGATCCCAGGGTCCTGGGATCGAGCCCCGCGTGGGGCTCCCTGCTCAGCGGGGAGTCTGCTTCTCCATCTGCCCCCCCTTCCACGTGCACACACACACTCTCTCTCTCTCTCTCTCTGTCTGAAATAAATAAAATCTTAAAGAAGAAGAAAAAGAAATCTCAATATACAGAAATTCAAACTTGCCTAGCAGAAAAACGAGAAGATTAGCGTATTGCCCTCTTTATTCTCTACCTGCATCTCGGCCTTCAGAGTCCTTCTCCCGGCTCCCGGAGGCTGATCCCTTCACTCGCAACACCTAGACTCCCTTGCCCTCCAGGGAGAGGCACCAGCAGGAGGAAAGATCACCTCTTCCTGTTTTCCCACGGCTGGCAGTTTCTGGCAGATGCTGTGGTCCTTCGTGGCTACAGCTCCGGCCGGCAGTCCCTGCCCTGCCCCCAGCTCACACGGGATGCCAGGAACACCATTTCCTCCCCGGGCCCCTTCAGGCCCCTGGGTGGTACCAGCTTCCTGCTGTCCCTGTTCCCATCCCCCCTCGCTGGCTCCACTGTCCCCGCCCACTCTTCCTTGGACAGTACCTTTTTCAAAGCCTCTGTGCTTGGACTATCTTCTAGTGGAATTTTGTTTCCTCTAGGGACCCTGACAGATTTAGAAATGAGTTTGTGTAGAATGAAAAATATTTACTGCCATCTGTGAGCGGGTGGTGCTTTTCAAAGTCACTCCATTTTTGAAATGTCCCCTTAACCACACCGCTTCCCACACACTGTCGCGCTGCCAAAGGCAGGGTACAAGGTGAGGCTACAGTCTGGCCCTCGGACAGCTCTCACAACTCCGAGGAAGGACCAGCAGGAGCCCAGCCCAGCCCCTTCCCGGTCTCCTGATGCTACTACCGCCGGAGACCTCAAAGTGTAAGACCTCTCGCATCTGGGCCCTGCAGGACTTTGGAGAATAACGTGGAGCCCCCTCATCAGGGCCAGAGGAAGGATTCGGGATTGGGCTCTGGGCTCTGGAAGAGTGAAAGAAGTACTGGGAGGGCGCCCAGAGAGGTTAGCACGGAAGGCAGCTGCATGCAGGCGCGCGTGCCGGTGGGCACGTGCGTCCTCTTGCTCTTGAGTGTGCGTGGAGGGGTGTGCACCTGCCTCTCTAGGACCCCACACCCACCCTCGTGCTCCCAATAAACAAACCTATGGCTGTGATACGGATGCTACCCCCTTCAATGTGGTGTCCCTGCACAGTCGACAACCCAAATACCCGGGCAGACTCTTTGGCCCTATGGATACGTGTCCCCGTTTTATGGGGGAAGAAGCGAAGGCTCAAAGGGGTTAAGTGTCTTGCCTAATTTACAAAAGCGATGACGGTAGGTCGGTCATTTTAAGAAAAGCAGCAGGGTTTCCAGCACCTCCCTTGTTCCCTCTTTCCAAGAGCCGCTCTTGAGTTCCAGAGCCTCCAGGGACGCTGGCTCTGCTGGCTGAGGTGCAAATGGATGAAGCTGACAGTCAGTGTGAAAGCCAAGCCACGGCAGGTGCAGCGCCCCCTGGGCAGACCCCATTGCCATGTGCCCAAACCCGCTGACACTGGACCGGATGAGATGGGGTGGGTGCTGTTATCTGTGGTCTGGGGTGATCTGGGCTGCTGGGAGAGGCGCAGAGCCGTCTCCACGGGCAGGAAGGCGGCAGCTCTGGGGAGAGGCGAGGGGAGGAGCTTGCTCCAATTGTTTTTGGTAATAAGAAAGCATGGCCCTCTGCTCAGCAATGACCAACATTAGAAGCCAGTTTCTAGAAGCCTCCCCCCCCACCACCACCACATATTGTCTGCAGAGCTGGAAATCAAAAGAGGACTCTGGTCACAAGAGGTTCTTCATAAATTCAGTAGGACTAGCAGGAACCCCAAAGACCTCTATTACGAGATCAGCACCCTTATTTCAAAGAAGAGAAATCTGAGGCCCAGACAGGGCAGGTAACTTGAGGCCACCCAGCAACCCCGCAGCCAAGTCAGAAATAGATGGCATGCCTGTAACTCAGAGCCAGATCGAGCTCTTTCTACCACTCCAGTAGGTCTTTTCCATTCATATCTGTATCCTCTTGCCCATTCAAAACCATTTCTGAATTGTGTTTCGTATCGGAGGATGCAAAGTTGGTGGGTGGGTCCTGCGGCCCGGGCTGCCAGGGCGCCAAGGCTCTCTTGATTTCTCAAAGCAATGGTGCAGCCAGCCTCACCGCGAGAATCAGGCCGCAAAGACTCCCCCCTCCCGCCCCCACCCCCAATTACCCATTAATGAAACCCACAAATCCACTGGATGGACTGAGTCTCAACTGTCAGGGCTGGGCTCACAGACACAGAATGCAAAGACACAAGACATCAGGGTTAATAAACAGCTTTATTTGCCTTTGACAGCATCGATTTTCTTACATTCTCAATTAATTTGCCATTAAAGTGCGGGAAATTTTCTTAATCACGATAACATTTATTAAAAGAAATCAGAACTAGTTTCAGGAATGTGGCGGCCATGAAGGAAACATTTCTCCCACAATGCACAGAACGTGTTGAGCTGGGGTACATCAGCCAATTTGCAGATAGATTCTAATTCTGTCTCACCGTGAACACCAAACTGGCTAGGACCGCCACCCCTGGGGGAAAAAGCAATGCTAAAGAGACCTAAAGACACCCTTGCGCCCCGCCTGGCGGCTCCTCTCGGCCCTCCCTGGGTGTTCCCTGTTTGAATAGATCCAATCTTAGGAGAAATGGAGGTCTGGCCCCCTCTACTGCCTTCTACCCCACCCCACCCTTACTAACAAAAGCCCCCGAAGTCATTACAATGAAAAAGTGGGTTTCCATTACCCTGACACTAACAATGTTCAGTAAAAATGAGGATAATAAACACATAAGCTTGCTTAGTAAACAGGAGCTCTCAGCATTCAATGCAAAGAAAACAAAACAAAACAAAACTGAAATCTCAAGGCAAATATTGTTGGCTCTGCACATGGGCTGGACGAACTTGGAACCCTTAGTTCCTGTATCTGTAAAGCTCCGGGCCGGGGCAACTAAGGCGGCTGGTTGGCTTTTTCAGCACTTGCCACAGGCAGAGGCCAGATCTCTGCATTATGCTGAGGCTGTCGGCGTGTTTCTCTCTGGAGTTTATATACAAACACACCCAAGGCTGGTGTATTTTTATACATATATGTACACACACAGAGGCCTGCTACTCTTTCTTGGAAACCACCAGCTCCACCTCGGGAAGCTGGATGCCAACCTTAGACCCACTGTCATTGCTGGAAGAAGAAGACAGTCGGGACTTCTTAGAGGCCAAGGACACTCCACTTCCCTGTAACTTGCCTGTCTCGTCATCGCTCCCAGTCACCTCATAATGACCTTTGCTCTTTGACCCCAATCCACCAAAGGTACCAAATTTCAGCTTTCCGTGTTTCCCTTTGACTTTCCCGCCTTCCAGTGACACTTCCCCACCTTCAAACTCCAAAGTCCCCGTCGGGGTGGAAGGCGCCGAGAGCTCCCGTTCGTCGCTGAAGGAATTTGAGCGGTGCCGGGGCTTCTTACTTTTAAATAAGGAGAATTTGCCTTTGGGTGATGACGTGTCGGCCTCGTTGTCTCCTTCCAGAGAACCCAGGCTGGCCTTCGAGCTCTTCAGGTCGCCTTTGGACCCTGAAATGGATGCTTCCGGGGAGCCCGTGACACCACCTTTCCCTTTAGGTTTGGAAAAATTGAACTTGGGCATTTTGATTTTGGACTTCTTCAGTTTTACGTCAGACTCTTCCCACTCCCCCTCTCCGGCCCCGGCCTGGACAGTGGCCTCCGCTTTAGGGAAGTTAATATCTACCCCCACTTCTCTGCCAACCAGCTCACGGCCAGAGAAGGTGAATTTGGGGATCTTCATCTTGGGGAATGTTACTTTTCCAGATCTGCTTTCCAAGTGACCTGGAGACCCAGACACACTCAGCCCAGGACCCTGGAGTCCAACCTGGCCTCCTTTCACACCGCCTTCTACCTTTGGTCCTGAGAAATGAAGTCCCCCAGCAAACTTAGGTGCATCCAAGTTGAGAGCGGAGGAGGCCTGGGGTCCTTTGACACTCACGTGTCCTTCGCCCAGGCTGACAGCTGGGGCGCTGACACCCCCTGAAACATCCACACCTCCTTTCATTTTCGGGCCCTTCAAGCTGACACCGAAATCTGACTCAGGAGAGGCCACATTAAGTGAAGGCCCCTTGACGCTAATGTCGGGAGCAGCCCCGTGGAAACCTATTCCTGAACCTTTCAGATCGCCTTTGATTTCGGGACCAGAAATGTGCCCCGTTGGGAGTTTCACACTCACACCTGGCAGCTCCACATCACATCCAGAGGACTTAATTCCAGGCATCTGGACGTTTCCTTCGAGGCCTTGAACACTGACACCCGGAAGACCTCCTCCAACAGTGGGGCCTTTCATTTCACCAGTGGCCCCGAGGCTTCCTTTTATTTTTGGTCCTTCCAAGTTCAAGTCCATGTCTGGTGCTGAGATTTGAGGGCCAGAGATCTGAGGCCCTTTCAGGTTCAGGCCTCCGAGGTTCACACCGATGCCTGGGGCCTGTAGCTCTCCAGTCACTTGTGGCCCTTTGACGTTCATGTCCAAGTCGGACCCTGAAGTCGAGATGCCAAACTGGGGCAGCTTCATTTTGGGAAGTTTAATGCCACCTTGAGGGGCCTCCAAGCTTAGATCAGGAGCACCTACTGATACTTTAGGGCATTTGATGTCACCAGAGACAGCCAGGTCTCCCTGCAGGGTTGGTCCCTTCAGGGTCACATCTGGGGTGCCAAGGTTTAGCGTGGCGTCGATCCCAGGCCCTTTCACACTGTCTCCTTCCATCCTCACCTTTCCACCTTGACCTCTGAGGTCAAGCCCTGGGGAGTGCACCTTCACACCAGGAACAGAGGCATCCAGGTCTCCCTTCAAACTTGGTCCTTTCAAGTTCAGGTCAAGGTCAGGTCCAGAGGCTTTTGGCATAGAGAGGTTCACTGAAGGCAAGTCTACTTTTGGCCCTTTCAGAGACACATCCAGCCCTTCAAGCTTAACATCAGGTGCACTCAAGCCTCCTTCGAGAGAGGGCAGCTGGGCATGAACCTCAGCTCCTACCCCTTCCATCTTCACACCAGGGACGCCGATCTTGGGCATTGAAAACTTGGGGAATTTGATCTTTGATTCTGGACCTTGCAGATCTATGTCTGGTCCTTCCAGTCCCACACTGGGGACATCACCCTTTATCTTTGGTCCTTTCAAGCTAACGTTCACATCGGGGATGGAGACCTGAGGGCCAGAAATGCCGAACGACGGGGCTTTGACTTTAGCATCTGGGCCTTCAATGTTGATGTCAGGTGCGTCCAAGTTTGCCTGCACCCTGGGGCCTTTCAAGTCACCCTCTATTTTTCCCCCTGAGACATCCATACCTGGCAGCTTGAACTTGGGAGCCTTCAGCTTGATGTCGGGACCTTCCACATGAATCCCAGGCGAAGAAATATCCACATCAGTTGCCTGGATTTCACCCTCCATTTTGGGGCTAGGGAGCGGGGCCTCAGCTTTAAATTTAGGTGATTTAATGTCAAATTCTACATCTGGAAAGTACATTTTCCCAAACATAGGTTTCTTGGTTTTGGGGGATTTCACATCAGCTTTAAATGTGGCGTCTGGCCCAGCAACGTTGACATCTACATCAGGAGGCTTGAGACTGGCATCAATTTCGTTCCCGGGAACATTCAAGTCAAATCCCTGTTTTTTGGCCTTCATTTTAGGGCCACTCATGTGAATTTTGGGCATTTTAAACTTACTCTTCTTGCCCTTGCCACCAACACTAATTTCAGGAGTCTCAACATTCAGCTCTGCCTCAGGAACGGTCACATCCAGGGAAGGTGACTTGAAGTCAGCTTTAGGGCTTTTTGCCCCAAAACCAAACTTGGGTTTCTTAAATTTGGGAATTTTAATGTCTGGCCCCTCAATATTAATATCTGGGCTCTCCGTGTGTACATCTAAGCTTGGAGCTTCTAAATCAACCTTGGGCCCTTTGAGGTCCAGTTCAGCACCTTCCAACTTGGGACCAGAAACCCCAATTTTGGGTGCCTTGAAATGCAAATCAACATCAGGAACAGTTACTTTAGGGGCAGATATATCCAGCGATGGCATCTTCAAATTTGGGCCACTGAACCTGGCATCCGGGCCTTCAAAATCCAGACCTGAACCTTTAAGGTCTCCTTCTGGGCCTTTGAAAGTACCTTCAATCTTAGGGATGCACACATCAAAATCTCCTTTGACTTTGGATCCTTTCAAATCCAAGTCAACATCAGGCATGGAGATTTTGGGAGCTTTGATGTTCATCTCTGGCATCTTGAACTTGGGGCCCTTCAATTTCACATCAGGACCTTCAATATTCACATCCGGGGCATCAATGTCCACTTTGGGGCCAGAAATATCAATGTCAGCCTTTGGCAGGTTCACATCCACTTCTGGGCCCTCTCCTTTGAAGCCAGGCATGCTGAACTTGGGCATTTTCACCTTGGGCATTTTCAGGTGCCAGTCTGGACCATGCATATCCACATCAGGGGCATCAGTGTCCATTTTGGGCCCTTTGATGTCAATTTCGGGGCCCTTGAGGTCACCTTCCACTTTAGGCAAAGACACATCCACATCACCCTTTACCTTGGGACCTTTCAGGTTAAAGTCAATATCAGGCATGGAAATCTTAGGCGCTTTGATGTTCATCTCTGGCATCTTGAACTTGGGGCCCTTCAGTTTTGCATCTGGACCTTCGATATTGACATCTGGAACATCAATGTCCACCTTGGGTCCTGAGACATCAATGTCAGCTTTGGGCAGGTTCACATCCACTTCTGGGCCTTCTCCTTTGAAGCCAGGCATGCTGAACTTGGGCATTTTCACCTTGGGCATCTTCAGGTGCCAGTCTGGGCCATGAACATCCACATCTGGGATGTCGATGTCCACTTCGGGGCCCTTGATGTCAACCTCAGGGGACTTTAGGTCACCTTCCACTTTGGGCAGAGACACATCCACATCACCCTTTACCTTGGGACCCTTCAGATTCAGGTCCACTTCAGGCATGGGGATCTTGGGTGTCTTGAGGTGCAGGTCAGGCATTTTAAACTTGGGACCCTTCAGTTTCCCTTCTGGGCCATGAATGTCAACATCAGGCATGTCTATGCCCAGATTAGGGCCTTTAACATCCACTTTGGGGCCTTTCAGGTCTCCTTCCACTTTAGGAATTGAAATATCCAAATCTCCCTTTATCTTAGGTCCTTTCAAGTTCAAATCAATGTCGCTCATGGAGATTTGTGGGGTTTTGAAATGGACATCAGGCATCTTAAATTTGGGACCTTTGAGTTTCCCTTCAGGACCTTCAATGTCCACCTCTGGCCCTTTTAGATCACCTTCCACCTTAGGTAATGAAAGGTCCACATCACCCTTTACTTTTGGCCCTTTCAAATTTAAATCAAAGTCAGGCATGGAGATCTTGGGGGCTTTAATATGCATCTCTGGCATCTTAAATTTGGGCCCCTTCAATTTTCCTTCTGGGCCTTCAATATTGACATCAGGAGTGTCGACGTCCAATTTGGGGCCCTTGATGTCAATTTCAGGGCCCTTGAGGTCACCTTCCACCTTGGGCAAAGAAACATCCACATCACCCTTCATTTTGGGGCCCTTCAGGTTAAAGTCAAGGTCAGGCATGGAGATTTTGGGAGCTTTGATGTTCATCTCTGGCATCTTGAACTTGGGGCCCTTCAATTTCACATCAGGACCTTCAATATTCACATCCGGGGCATCAATGTCCACTTTGGGGCCAGAAATATCAATGTCAGCCTTTGGCAGGTTCACATCCACTTCTGGGCCCTCTCCTTTGAAGCCAGGCATGCTGAACTTGGGCATTTTCACCTTGGGCATTTTCAGGTGCCAGTCTGGACCATGCATATCCACATCAGGGGCATCAGTGTCCATTTTGGGCCCTTTGATGTCAATTTCGGGGCCCTTGAGGTCACCTTCCACTTTAGGCAAAGACACATCCACATCACCCTTTACCTTGGGACCTTTCAGGTTAAAGTCAATATCAGGCATGGAAATCTTAGGCGCTTTGATGTTCATCTCTGGCATCTTGAACTTGGGGCCCTTCAGTTTTGCATCTGGACCTTCGATATTGACATCTGGAACATCAATGTCCACCTTGGGTCCTGAGACATCAATGTCAGCTTTGGGCAGGTTCACATCCACTTCTGGGCCTTCTCCTTTGAAGCCTGGCATGCTGAACTTGGGCATTTTCACTTTGGGCATCTTCAGGTGCCAGTCTGGGCCATGAACATCCACATCTGGGACGTCGATGTCCACTTTGGGGCCCTTGATGTCAACTTCAGGGGCCTTTAGGTCACCTTCCACTTTGGGCAGAGACACATCCACATCACCCTTTACCTTGGGACCCTTCAGATTCAGGTCCACTTCAGGCATGGAGATCTTGGGTGTCTTGAGGTGCAGGTCAGGCATTTTAAACTTGGGACCCTTCAGTTTCCCTTCTGGGCCATGAATGTCAACATCAGGAGCGTCTATGTCCACCTTGGGTCCTGAGATGTCAATGTCAGCTTTGGGCAGGTTCACATCCACATCTGGGCCCTCGCCTTTGAAGCCAGGCATGCTGAACTTGGGCATTTTCACCTTGGGCATCTTCAGGTGCCAGTCTGGACCATGCATATCCACATCAGGGGCATCAGTGTCCATTTTGGGCCCTTTGATGTCAACTTCAGGGGCCTTCAGGTCACCTTCCACCTTAGGCAGAGAAACATCCACATCTCCTTTCATCTTAGGACCTTTCAGGTGCAAATCAAAGTCAGGCATAGAGATCTTGGGGGCTTTGATGTTCATCTCAGGCATCTTGAACTTGGGGCCCTTCAGTTTTGCATCTGGACCTTCGATATTCACATCTGGAACATCAATGTCCACCTTGGGTCCTGAGACATCAATGTCAGCTTTGGGCAGGTTCACGTCCACTTCTGGGCCCTCTCCTTTGAAGCCAGGCATGCTGATCTTGGGCATTTTTATTTTGGGCATCTTCAGGTGCCAGTCTGGGCCATGGACATCCACATCTGGGACATCAACATCCACCTCGGGGCCCTTGATGTCAACTTCAGGGCCTGTTAGGTCACCTTCCAGCTTAGGCAGGGAAACATCCACATCTCCTTTGACCTTGGGGCCTTTCAGGTGCAAATCAAAGTCAGGCATGGAGATCTTGGGGGCTTTGATGTTCATCTCAGGCATCTTGAACTTAGGACCTTTCAACTTTCCCTCAGGACCCTCAATGTTAACATCAGGGCCTTCAATGTCCACCTTAGGTCCAGTCACATCAATGTCAGCTTTGGGCAGGTTCACATCCACTTCTGGGCCCTCTCCTTTGAAGCCTGGCATGCCGAACTTGGGCATTTTCACCTTGGGCATTTTCAGGTGCCAGTCTGGTCCATGAACATCCACATCAGGGGCATCAATGCCCACTTTGGGACCTTTGAGGTCCACTTCAGAGCCTTTCAGATCACCTTCAAACTTGGGAAGGGAAACATCCACATCGCCCTTCACCTTAGGGCCTTTCAGGTTTAAATCAATATCAGGCATGGAAATCTTAGGAGTCTTTAGGTGCATCTCTGGCATCTTGAATTTGGGCCCCTTCAGTTTCCCCTCTGGGCCTTCAATGTTAATATCAGGAGTGTCGATGTCCACTTTGGGGCCTTTTATGTCCACCTCAGGGCCCTTTAGGTCACCTTCTACTTTTGGCAATGACATATCCACATCACCTTTTATTTTGGGGCCCTTCAAGTTCAGATCAAGGTCAGGCATGGAGATTTTGGGGGCTTTGATGTTCATCTCAGGCATCTTGAACTTGGGGCCCTTCAGTTTTGCATCTGGACCTTCAATACTCACATCTGGGGCATCGATGTCCACTTTGGGGCCAGAAATATCAATGTCAGCCTTTGGCAGGTTCACATCCACTTCTGGGCCCTCTCCTTTGAAGCCAGGCATGCTGAACTTGGGCATTTTCACCTTGGGCATTTTCAGGTGCCAGTCTGGGCCATGACCATCCACACCAGGGGCATCAATGTCCACTTTGGGCCCTTTGATATCAATCTCTGGCCCTTTCAGATCCCCTTCAACTTTGGGCAGAGAAACATCCATATCACCTTTCACCTTGGGGCCCTTCAGGTCTAAATCAATGTCAGGCATGGAGATCTTGGGAGTTTTGATATTCATGTCAGGCATCTTGAGTTTGGGACCTTTTAAGCCTCCTTCTACACCTTCTACATTGATTTCTGGACCCTCAATGTCCATTCTGGGACCCTCTATGTTGATATCGCCTTTTGGCAGATCCACAGCCATTTCTGGCCCTTCCGCTTTTAAGCCAGGCACACCAAACTTGGGCATTTTCATTTTGGGCATTTTCAAATTCCAATCTGGACCATGAACATCCACATCAGGTGCATCAAGATGAACTTCTGGTGCTTTAATATCTACTTTGGGTCCTTTAAAGTCACCTTCTAAATTAGGAGCTGTAACATCTAAGTCTCCTTTAACTTTAGGACCTTTCAGATTTAACTCCACATCAGGCATAGAAACTTTAGGAGATGAAATACTCAGGAAAGGCATTTTGAACTTGGATCCTTTCACTTTCCCTTGGACTTCAACATCAGGAGCATTAATATCAACTTTTGGACCTGTCACATCAATATCTGGCTTTTTAACTTTGACATCCACCTCAGGTGTCTGAACTTTGGAGCCTGAAAAGTTAAATTTAGGAAGCTTAAAACGTGATTTCTTTGACTTGCCTTCAAGATTGACCTTAGGACCAGAAATGTCCACTTCTGGGCCCTTTACATCCAACTTGGGAGCTTTAATGTCACCTTCCAATTTGGGCCCAGAAACATCAACATCTCCCTTAAGCTTTGTCCCTTTCAAATTCAGGTCAATTTCTGGCATGGAGATCTTGGGCATGTTTACATGCATGTCTGGCATCTTCAGTTTGGGACCTTTCAATTTGCCTTCAGGGCCATGAATGTCAATATCTGGAGCATCTACATCTATCTTTGGACCCTTGATGTCAAGAGTAGGCCCTTTCACATCACCTTCTACATTTGGAAGGGAAACATCCACCTCTCCTTTCATCTTAGGGCCTTTAAGATTAAGGTCCAAATCTGGCATGGATATCTTTGGAGCTTTGACGTTCATCTCTGGCATCTTGAACTTGGGGCCCTTCAGTTTTGCATCTGGACCTTCAATATTCACATCTGGAACATCAATGTCCACCTTGGGTCCTGAGACATCAATGTCAGCCTTGGGCAGGTTCACATCCACTTCTGGGCCTTCTCCTTTGAAGCCGGGCATGCTGATCTTGGGCATTTTTATCTTGGGCATTTTCAGGTGCCAATCTGGGCCATGAACATCCACATCTGGAACATCAACATCCACTTTGGGGCCCTTGATGTCAACTTCAGGAACTTTAATCTCACCTTCCACTTTTGGTAAAGACACATCCACATCACCCTTCACTTTGGGGCCCTTCAGGTTAAGATCGATGTCTGGCATGGAGATCTTGGGGGCTTTGATGTTCATCTCAGGCATCTTGAACTTAGGACCTTTCAACTTTCCCTCCGGTCCTTCAATGTTAACATCAGG